GACAGGGCAAGATATGACAAAATAACAATTTATAAATTATCAAGGGCTCATGAGGGAGGGGGGAGCGGGGAGGGAGGGGAAAAATGAGGACCTGATGCCAGGAGCTTAAGTGGAGAGCAAATGTTTTGAGAATGATGAGGGCAATGAATGTACAAATGTGCTCTACACAATTGAAGTATGTATGGATTGTGATAAGAGCTGTATGAGCCCCTAATAAAATGACTGAAAAAAAAAGACCTCATCAAAGTGTCGAAAAGCAAACATGCTACTTTGAGGACGAAGGTGAGCCTGAGCCAAGCCAGGGTATTTTCAATTGCTTCCTAAGTATGTGAAAGTTGGACATTGAATAAAGAAGACAGAAGAAGAATCCAGGTGTTTGCATTCTGGTTCTGGCCATGGATATTGAAGCTACCATTGACTTCGAAAAGAACCAACAAAGCTGTCTCAGAAGAAGTCCAGGCAGATGCTCCTTAGAAGTCAGGCTGAGAGATTTTATTTCATGTGCTTGGACCATGTTGTCAGCAAAGACCAGTGCCTGCAGAAGGACCTCACGCTCGGTGCCGTCACAGGCCAGTGAAAAAGAGGAAGATCTTAGACAAGATGGATTGACAGTGTGGCTCCATAGAAGGGCTCAAACCTACGAACACTGAAAGTGTGGATGGAACAAGACTGGGCAGTCTCCTCTTGTACATAGGGTTGCTCTGAGTGGGAACGGACTCGGTGGCTCCTAACAATGCAAACAAGAACAAGAACAACATATCTCTTGTCCAGTGACCTTCTCCACACTGTGTCATTCACAGTAAGTCCACATCCTTACCCTTTTCTTTCCTTGCTAACTTTCCGTTTAGGAGTGTTCTCAATCTTGTGTGCTCAGATCTGTTGAGCTGTGAAAGAGGGGGGTTCCATGTCTTGATGAATAAAGAAGGGATTATGACCAATTTTGAAATATTCCTCCAATGCTTAAAAGTACTTCTGAACTCAGGAGATCTGTGAGCATTCAGTTAAGATCAACTAGGGAAAAACAAAGAAATTACTGATTTTTAAAATTTTCTCTGATGGTTGGAGTGAATTAGGTTATTTATTTATTTTTTGAGAAGGTCAATTTCTATCATGTGGACATTTTTAAAAACTTTTCATCATTTTGAAATATTTTCTTTGTTTCTCACTTGTCTAGCTGTTTTTAACTTTTGACAAATGCTTTAGGAAATGATCAATATTCTTTTGGTTCTTCTTCTTTTTTAAAAAACATTACCATTGCCTGCACCCTAACCCTCCATGTCTATATGTCCATGCAGTTCCTGGCTCCTAACAAAACGTTAACACCTGGCTGGAGGTTTATTCCACCAGGAAGTCATTTGAAAGAATGTCTGGGGAATCAACTTTTGAAAAATCGCCCATTGAAAATCCGGTAGAGAACAATTCTACTCTGACACACTTAGGATTTAATTGCCATGAATTCAAATAAACTCAGGATAATTAAATATATATGCCGAACTATATAATATGACATCCTCATTAAACAGTTTACCAAACTTTCAAATTCTTGATTTTCTCTCATCCACCCATCTGCACACAGTGAATGCATTCATCTTTGTAGCGATACGTTGAGCATGCCTTTTGGTAAAGACAGGGGCCCCGAAGGCAGAGTCATGCATTCGGCTGTGGTTTGCAAGTCAGTCTTTGGAATACCTCACCGCCCCCCCCCCCCCGCTGTGGCTCTGGGGTACCAAGACAGGGTTTTCTGCTTCCCTAAGGAGTTCCAGTCTTGGAACCTCACAGGGGCAGTTCTGCCCTGTCCAATAGGGTTGGCATGACTCAATGTCAGTGAGTTTTTAGAGTTTTGATAAAGACATGCTTAGCGAATTCCTCTTTTCCACCTTAAAAAGGATAATGGGCCTGAGCAATTCAGCCTTTAAATGGGAGACATTTCATGAAAATGCTCACATGGATCTCATCTGGCCATAAAATTTATATTCTGTGTCTATTATACATTCATACTCTATCTCCAGTACCCAGTATTGTAGATGAAATATGGTTTTAGTTGGGCAAATGAAAACGAATTTTAACACTATATTTAACTTGCATCTTCTTTCCAAGTAAAATACTGAGTTTTGTGATACTTCACTTTATTCTACATGGAGTCACGTGCAAAAGCACTTTAAGTCTATGGGAGACTTGAAGGTATGGATCCAGTTCTCGCTCTGCTTCCCATTAGCTTATGTATGTTCACACCACCCCTCCCACAGCGTTTTGACTCCAAGTATTAAACCATCTAGAAAATGGGAATGAGTTTAAATCCATGAGCATATTTAGCTACTGTTTTTATTCATATTGAAGGATGATTTAAATATGGGAAATGAAGAAACAATTGGGCGTGGGGGTAGGGGGATATGAGTGTTTGATTTTCCCCACTTCTGCCAGATCCATTCCTCAAAAGGTGTCTGTTTTCTCTCCTGTCACCAGTTTTTATGGGAAGAGGTGGAAACACCAGGTACTTATGTCACCAGGTACAGTATTCTTATTGTCAAGCGGCGTGCATCAGTATTGCCATTTTTGCTTCTCTTAGGAAGACTCTTTCAATCCTTACCAGTTGTCCACGGCACCCATTCAATCCGGGGAAGCCTTTCTTGGATGCGGCAAAGCTTGGGCGCAGCTGTGGTTTGTTAATCAGCTCTCAGGGGATGTCCAGGCTGCCCCTTTCTACTTCTTGCTGGTCCTTTCCCCCTGTCCCTCCCTCCCGCTTCCTGTCCTCCCTGCATGTTTGTGTTCTTGCCCAACATCTGCCCTGGGCCCAGGGGGCAATTTCCAGCTCTGGGTATTGTCTATTTCTTTACAACATATCCCCCATGGCAATAAACACACATTTGCCTCTCAATAGCAACTCTTGACTATATTTAAAAAATGCCACCCACGTATAATTAATATTTCAACGCAGGGACCACTCATTCCCTTTTCGGATCTTCCCTCCTCCAAATGCCCTGGCCTCTTCTTTGAAAAGAAGGCTACATTTCTCGCACAGGGCTACCTATGAGGGCAAGTGGGGCGTAGGTTCCCCATGTTTGACTAATTGTACTTCTCACACTTTGAACTTGCCATGTCTCCCCTTCTCCCACAGGGACTCACTGCGTCCACAGTTCATAGTTGCCACCCACTGCGTCACTTGCGGAGGGAAATAGTGAAGACTCTCTTCCAGTTCTTCAGCCCTTTCCACACAATCAGAACCACGAGAAAAGCCTCCCGCGCCCTGGCCTCTATGTCTGCGATTGCCACGCCGCCCTTGGCCTCGTCCCCCGCCTCTCAGGTGGGAAAGGTGCTGGAGGCCAGAGGGAGACCCTCTTGAGAAACACACCGATGGCTTTTCAGTTTTGGGGGGAGCTAAAATAAAAACAATTTGTATACTATTAGTAAATTTTGGCATATTCTCCTTTGAAGGATACACTAGCCCTTTGGGGACAGGAAGGATTATGAAATTATAATATTGCTAATATGTCTATTTTCCCTATAAAAGAAATCCAACTCAAGAGGGGTCAATTTTTTGCCATTCTGCCAGAAATATAAACAAAGCACATCTACATATATATATAAACACCACACGGTTTTTTGCGTGTTCTTCCTAGTTATGCATTCATTCAGCTAGCATTTCTTGAATTCCTACCATGGACAAGCTTAGTGTTAATTGCATGTAGAGGAGCTGGAACTATACCTGTACGCGCTAATGTGGTTTAAAGTTGCACTACAAGTTATCTTAGCAAACTTTTCCTTTTCTCCCTTTTAAAACATTCACTCTACTTGAAGATTCATATTTGAAATTCAGGTCTTTTGTAATTTTCCCCCTCCCCCCATATAAACCCAAGAGAACTGGTTTGCTTCAAGTGATTTATTGTTTATCACAACTGACTGTAATATTGTTTTTCTTCCGGAAGTGATGGATTCTCCTTGCTATGTTTTGGTTCTCCTGCACATATCCTCTACCCAGAGTACCCTACTGTTTAACTTGTCTACTGAATGGGAACAAAAGCCCTGTTGCACAATGAATTACACATTGGGCTACTGATCACAGGTTATTGGCTTAACCCCACAAGCTGCTTCGTGGGAACAAGACTAGGTATCTGCTCTCTTAAAGATTTAAAGTCTCAAAAGCCCACACAGGTGGTTGTACACTCTCTCCTGTTGAGCTGCCGTGGGTTGGAATCCACTTGATGGCAGTGAGTGTTTTGGCTGTTTTTCTTTTTTTAATTAGGCAAAAACAAGAGTCATGAATGAATATTTCTTATCCTAAGCTAAAACTATGCTATATTGCTATTTCTCCTCTTTTTGTATTTTCTTTTATTTCTCCCTTCTCTCCTTCCCTGTCTTCCCCAACACCCCTGCCCCAATAACCATCAAAGTCTGTTTCTTTTGGTATGAAAACCTATCATCTTGATTTTCTTTCTTTTATCACTAGGGTATCATACAATATTTTACATAATTGACTTATTTACTCAAGGTAGTATCTTCCAAGTCCATCCATGTTATGAAATGTTTGACAGGTTTCTCAATATTCTCTCATGAGGCAAAGTATCTATTGTATGGATGTGCGAACATTTATTCAGATATTTAGATGTATACATGTTTTATTCATCAGACTTTTTAGACATCGTAAAGAAGGCATGTTATTACTAAAAATTGATGTATCAAAGGCTTAATATAATATGTATTTATAAATAAGGGGGAACAAACAGAGAGAGGAAGGAGAGACGTACATTATTTTACCTTTGTTTATAAAAATAAGAAGCAGTACAAAAAGAAGCAATGTCCTGCTCCAAACTTCAGCAGAGGCTAGAGCTTCCTAAATCACTTCTTTGGAAAGTTCAAATAATCTCATCTCGATCTGAGAAAGACCCAGTAGCAATGTTGGTGCATGTACAGTGTGGAAGGTCCAGGTTGCTTTTAGGTTGTGTTTTCAACCAAACAAAAAGGCACAGAAGAAACTAAGCCTGTCTGTATTTTGTTACCATTTTTAAAGAGCCTTATGTATTGATGTCACTGTTATTGAAATGCGTTTTAAGAAGAAAGTTGAACCTTATAAACTAATTTGGTTTGCTCAAGCTATCTTTAGCACCTACAGTAATAAGATAAGAGTAATATCATAAAGTAAGCTAAAAACCAAATGTGTTGCTGTCAAGTTGAGTCAATGACAATTCATAGTGACCTTATAGGACAGAGTAGCAGTACACCACAAGGTGTTTGAGATTATAAATCTTACTGTAAGTGGGCCACGCATCTTTTTCAGATGGAGCAGCTGACAGGTTTAAACCTTCTACCTAGTGGTTGCCAGCTCAAAGTTTAAAAACTCTGTGATCTTCAAATATTTAATTAGTGCACACACACACACAGCAGGATGAGTAATGTACCAGAGAAGAAACTGATATATTTACATTGCACTGTTCTGCTCCGTCGGTTATATGGTTTTAGTGACATTGGGTTTACAATTCACATTATGCAATTTGAAGATAATCACCAAACGAAAGATGTGGGCTATGCTTATGGAAATATAATATGTGAATATTGTAAAATTAATGTCATCAGTGCAGGCCATTCTCCTGTGTGGCAAATATTGTGCTCAGTCAGTGGTATCCTTAGTTTTTCATATTCACAACTTTAAAAAAAATGCCACCTGAGTTATACAATTTAAAGAATGTAATTAATGTCCCTGATATATATATGTATAGGTGTGTGTGTGTGTGTGTGTGTGTGTGTGTGTGTATCGCATATACTCGTGATAAGCTGAGTTTTTCAGCACATTTTTATGCCGTTTTCGTGGTAAAATTAGGTGCCTCGTCTGATAGTCGGGTCGGCTAATACACGAGCATATACGATATATATACTGTTGGATTGGTGAATGCTTTACATTTTTAAACTACCACCTGGATGTAGAGATAAAGTGTGTCACCCGCAGCACATAACCCAGGAAGACATTGTCGTGTGATATGCTTCCCAGGTCCTCTGGAAGAGCAGGCGGAGTAATGATCTGGGCGGGGTTGCTAACTGCAAAGTCAGCAGTTCGCGCCACCAGGTGCTCCTCGACAGGTGTCAGAAACACTGCTGCTGTCCAGAGTTCCAGTCTCAGAAACTCACAAGGACAGGTTTACCTTGTTCTAGAGGGTGACCATGAGTCCGCATGGACTCAGTCGTCGGGAATTTGTTTTTCTGTTTGTGTTTAGAACGACATTGCCGCAGGACCAGTTCCATGTAGCCACATCAAAGTTTGGTTGCTCACAGCGCTGGGAGCTGAGATATTTATTCATCCTCGATGTAACTCCATTTCTGTTCTGTGAAATGGGTATAATTAATGGAACTCTTTTCTTAAGGTGCCATGAAAACTGCTTACGATGGACACCAGCTACGTTCTTACAACGCTATTTGGAAGATGGCGTATAAAAAGGCTGGCTATTTTTGATTTCTCTAAAAGCATTCCCTGAGAAAGAAATAGTTTTCAGGTATGTAAGTAATAGGGGACATTAGGAGACCAGTGCACTCTATGACATCTCACTGGTTTCTATAGCAACTTAAAAACAAGAGCCATCCCCCACTCTGTTAAATTGAACTCTGGCTGATGAAAAGTCTGTCAATGGAAGATTAGGGCTGACTTGGAGAGCAAAAGAGCAAAACTTTATGTGTGAGAAATTCGTTATGGCAGACACAATGTGCCAGGCAACCGCAATCCCTTGCCTGGTGTAGGCCTATTGTGGAGACAGAAAAAAATGACATTACTTCTGAATTAATATAAACTTTTTTGTGCTTACTTCATCCTTTCTCACCAGACCCCCTTCTGAGGGAGGACAATTTCCCATGTGTTAGGAAAACAATAGACTAGTCAGCCACGCTGACAACCTTGCTACATTATAATGTGTTCCTAATTTTTTCTGTAATTGCATTTTGGGTCATATCAGGTTCTTGAGAACTTTCTTCAGAAAGGAGTTTTTGATTTTGAAATTGTAGAACCCTCCCTTTGAGAAGCTTGCTGCATTTGTTTGTTATTCTTTTTTAAAGATCTAGCTTCCTGGTCTCTACCTACAGAAATGATTTGGATGGTCTGGACGCAGAAGCATTTATGCCACAGTTTGTACTGCAATATTGGGGAAATTGGCTTTATTAGTAGAGGGATCTCACTGCTAAGGAAGGAGTCCAGGTGGTGCTGTTGTGTATGCACTTGACTACTAACTGAAAGGTTGGTGGTTCAAACCTACCAGCTGCTCCCAGGGAGAAAGAGAAAGCTATGTGTTACCATAGAGATTTATAACTTTAGAAACCCTAATGAGGGTCTCTATGAGTCACAATTGACCCAATTCCAGTAAATTTGTTTGTTTCTTTTGGGGTGTGTTTTATTTCCATTGGTCTCTCTCCAAAATATGTGTTGTAAATCCTAAACTCTAAGCTGGTGGTTTGCAGTGGGATTTTTTCTTCTTACATTGAGTCATGCCATATCAATAAATGAAGGTCTCAAAGCTTCACTCTATGCCATTCAAGTCGAATCTACTTTCAGGAGAGCACTCTTCCTTAGTTATATTTTGAGTGTCTTCTACCTTAACGGGCTCATCTCCTGCCACTATGTCTAGGGACGCTGCACTGCTATTCATAAGATTCTTAAATGGTAACCCCTCAGAAGTAGACAGCTTAGTCCTTCTACCTGGTCTAGTCTAGACAGAAAGTTCCACTGAAATCTGTTAACCCCGAGTTTCTCTGCTGTATTTTAAGTCCTGGAGGTATAGTTTCCAGTATCACAACAATACTCAAGCCACCATAGTACAACAAACTGAGTGGTGAATAGGAATAGCTGCAAATGTCCATTGATAATCAGAACATAGAATGCACAAAATATAAATCTAGAAAAATGGGAAACTGTAATAAAATGGAACACATTAAGATTAACACATAAAGATTAAAAGTCATTATAAAATGACTGTGAATCCAATGAATGGAAATGGACTGGGATTAGCCACTTTGAATTACACAATGTTAGATTTACTATGACAAGAATGATCAATTCAAGAAAAATGGCATCACATTCATAAGCACATTATATAAAAAAGAACATTAGAAGATTTATCCTGAAGTACAATGCTGTTTGGGATAGAAGGATATCCACACACTTGCAAGAATACAGTTAATACAAATATTATTTAAATTTGCAAACCAACCACTAATGTTGTGATGAAATGATTGAATAATTCTACCAGCTTCTTCAGTCTGAAATTGATCAAATATGCAATCATGATTCATTGATAATTATTTATCAATGATAATTACCATGGATAACTGTTTATCAGTTATTCCCATCTTTTGGAGTGCAAAATATGGCAATGAAGAAGAAGGGACAGTTACTGAAAATTAGGGCCTTGGTGATAAAGACGCTTGAGATCACGTGAGAGAATTTTGCCATAGCAACGATTTCTTCATTGAAAATCTCTCTTTTTCAAACACATAAACAGTGACTGTACACGTGAGGAGTATAGACCTCCTCATGTGGAAAACGTAGAAATCACTGTGACTACAATATGTGGAAAGAGATGACGGAGAAGACCAATATCAGCAGTCAAAACGATGCTGGGGCTGACGGTTGAACATACCATCAATTACTTCTATGTAAGTTCAGGTTGATGTTGAAGACAATCACTACAACCCTACAAGAGCCAAAATGCAACTTTGACCATATTGCACCTGAGTTTTGAGAACATGCCAACAACAGAGTTGACAGATTAAGCATGACTGACAGAAGATCTAATGAGCTGCGGGATCACACCAAGACTAGCATACACAAAGAAAGCAAAGGGTCCTTGAAGAAATGAGAAAACACACAAAGTCAGGGTGGATGCCAGAGGCCCTGTGAACACGGCTGTTGTTATTAGGTACCATCAAGTCAACTCCAACCCCTGGCGACCCTACGCACAACGGAAGGAACCTGCAAGGTCCTGCCTGCACCAGCCCCATTTCTTCCTCTGACTGAGCCCACTGATGTGTTACTCCATCTCGTTGGGGCCCTTCTTCTTTCTCACTGCTCCTCCACTGTACCGAACATAGGTCCTTCTCCAGGGACTGGTCTCTCCTGAAACCATAGCCAAAGTATGTAAGAAGAAAATGTTGCCATCTTTGCCCCCTCAGGAGAACTCTGGGCTTACTTCTTCCAGTACACCTTGGTTTGTCCTTTGAGCAGTCCATGGTACTTTCACTATTCTTCTCTGGCACCACAATTCAAACGCATTAATTCTCCTATGGTCTTTCTTATTCCATGTCCTAATCTCCCATGCACATGATGCAATGTAGAATACCATGGCTTCAGTCAGGTGCACCTTAGTCCTCAGAGTAACATCCTTGTTCTTCAGTACTCTAAAAACGTCTTGTGCAGCAGCTTTACCTAATGCAGTGTCTCTGACCTCTTGACTGCTGCTTCCCTGAGCAATGACTGTAGATCCAAATAAGACAAAATTGTTGGCAATCATTTAATCTTTTCTCCATTTGTCATGATGTGACCTATAGGTCCAGTTGTGAGGATTTTGGTTTTCCTAACATTGAGTTGTAATCCACACTGAAGCTACAGTCCTTGAACTTCATCCAAAAGTGCTTCAATTCCTTCTCACTTTCAGCAAGCAAGGTTGCTGGGGTTTGTTAGTGGTTACACATTGGGCTGCTGGCTGCAAGATAAGCAGTTTGAAACTACCAGCTACTCTGTGGGAAAAGACAGAACTTTCTACTCCCCAGAAGAGTTACAGCCTCAGAAACTCACAGGGACAGTTCTACCTTATCGTATCAGATAATTATGAGTTTACATAGACTTCATGGCAGTAAGTTTGTTGTTTTTTTTGTTTGGGCTGTTCCAGGATTCTCACGGTTTGGCAATCAAAGTGTCCACCATGATGTGATCTAACAGAATGTAAACAGCTCCATGATGGATGTTTCTGTGAGCAGCAAAGCAGTTTGAAGAGGACTAGAGAGGAGTTCAGCCCCCTGTCTCAGGCCACAGCCTTACTGCAATTGAAAGGAAGCTCCCTTGGGGCTGTGGACTGTTCTTATTAAATAGACATTGGGGCAATATCTGTCTTCTTCCTGGTTAGGATCCTGTATTTGACTCATAGACTTACCCTATTTCCTGCCAACCCTGGGCCTATCACCAGTCTACCATATTGCCTGCTCACCTTGAATGCATTAGTCTCTGCAGCCACCAGTTTGACTTGATGTTTGGTTCATCTTCCTGCTTCCTAGTTTGTCAGCTTTAGTAGCTACACGAGTCCGGAAAATCCTCAAAGTTAACATCAGACCCACTGACTTTATTCAGTCTGTATATAGCTGCTTCTACAACTATGTGAGCCATTCTCTTGACACATACTTCTTCATATATGGATATATTTCTATCCACATCTACATCTCTATGTCTGCCTCTATCACTACCTCTATCTGATATAGCACTGGCAGCCCTCACTCATCTATGTCAAGAAATTTAAGACAGTTATCAGGCTAACTGACATATCAGGCTAAATTACATACATATTTGCTCCTAGTCCTTAGAAAGGTGACCCAACAAAGTATGGACTTTATCAAACAATATCATTAATATCACATACCAATCACATTTTGCTGGAAGATAATTCAGATACTTGCCTCATATGTCTTAGGTGGGATCTCTAGAGAAGCCAACCCAGTGACATACATATCTATATCTAACTCATCTACCTATATCTATATCTTTATCTATATCTTTACTGTATCTATATATATCAAGTATAGTATATACTCAGATAGCTATATCACCTATACCTATGCTTATGCTTCCATATACATCTAGATCATCTACATCTAACTCTCCATATCTATATGTACACGGAGAAAAATTATATCAAGAAAATGACTCATGTAATCTTAGAACTAGGCAAATTCATTTCAAGTTCAGGTAGATTCCAAGTCCATGGGTCAGATGTTAAGCTCGAGGCTTCTCCTGACGTGTGTAGCTGATAAACCCTAAAATTAAGTGGAATACCACAGACAGGGGTTTGCAGAGGGAGATTAATTCAATATTGACAGGTGAGATTTGTAACTACAGAGGGGAATGATTTCCAAGTTGGCAGGTCAGATGGCAGGCTGCTATGGCTCCTGATGATTCCTAGGCAATAGGGCAGGCTGTTGGCTCAAGTCCAAAGAACTGGAAGTTGATGAGCTAAATGCAGGACCCACAGGAGAAAAAGTAAGCAAACTTTCCC